TTTCCTTGTCCGGGAATCGGACCGCCAAGGCTCCCACCTCAGTCTGCCACCCGATCCACACTGCACCGGACCATTCATGTTCCTCCTGCGGGTGGTGGGTCCACAGTTGGATGAGCCCATGTATCTGGTTCGGGCTGGGCCCGGCCGGGCCCCATGGGCGAAAGCCCGGCCACCAGACGCTCGCTCACGGGCCCACGGTCACTGGCTCCAGGGTGGGACCCGGTAACCCTCCGTGCCGGGTACTCCGACTCTTTGATTGCAAATCCATGAAAGATCCTCTGAACCGTTCTTTGTCTCACCCTTCACCTAAGACCAATTTGTTATGGGAGACCCTACCAGGGGCACAAAGTGCCCCAGACAACACAGCTCCTAGGATCATTAGGGCACTCAAACTCTTCCACCACGATAAGGTGACGGTTCAAGGAGTTATAAAAATCTTACTGTTGTAATTTTCGGATGATAATTTATGGATTTCCCAAATAGTTCAGACTTCCATCAGAACGTTATGCTCCTGCCAAAATAAAACTAGTTAAAATATAATAAAACTATTTAAAAAACAATCATAAACAATGTCAAAAATTAATTTTAGTTTGCAAGATTAAAATTTAGAAAGGTTAGTGATTGATTCTCCTTAAAAACTAATTGACCTTCATAAGGTCACACGACAGTGTTTTACAAACTTTAGAGGGATTTTTTAGTTTAATTTAATTCATATTTTTATTACCATTTATTTTCAGATTTGTTGGGTTTTAAGGACCATCACTACAAGTCTCTGCTTCCCTCCAGCACCTATATTTTTAACGTGATCAATCTAAACCAACTTCTCTCATTAAAAGCTGTATTTCAGTGGCTCAGCGTTCTGCTTTCAGCTTGTTAGGACACGACCCAGTATTCACAAAGCCCGTGCGCTTCTTTACTTGATGCTGTTTTATAATCTTCTCCTTAAATCTTTCAGAAATGACGAGCAACATGGTTCTCATTTGACCACTTACTTTAACTACTTAATGGTTCTTGAAAGCCTTAATCACTGTAGCTTGAAATAGTTGCTCCCCAAGAAAACAAACCTCGCACTGACTTGTTGCCAAGCATTAAATTTAAATCCAGCAGGACAGTTGGTGTTTATTTTTATTTTTTAGAAGAAGGCGGGGTTCTGAGGAGTGGCACAGCTTAAGGTGGAACACTTGTGTCCTGACTTGCTTTATTTTTCAGGACTCAGACTTGAAAAAGTACTTTGACTGTCTTTTTTTCCCCTCTGTGTGTGTGTGTGTGTGTGTGTGTCCAGGGTTACCTACTGGCCTACACAGAAAGAATTTCCTCCCTGCTGCTGCTGTTTGCCTCCATGATGGTTGAAGATCAGGTGTGGCTCAGGTGTGCGCTCCCTCCCGAGGCCTTTGGTGAAGCTGTGAAGAGAAGCTTTGAGACTCCAGGTGGTTTTCCAGCCTTTTCTGCATTACAGCTCTTCTGTTGGAGCCTCTCTTCACCTCCTCCTCCTCCTGTCCATGTAATATAACACTAATGAGATCATCACTCCAACTATCACGTCACTAAAACAGGAGGAAATGAAAAAAAGGCTTTCTTCACCTCTATTAAAGACCAATTTCACTTTTTCTTTTCAACACATCTGCAGTGGCCTTGTGAGACAAAAATAATAATAAAAAAGCTCTTGCGCTCCTGTTTTGGAAACCAGAAGTGAGCCAGAGAAGAGGAGAGTAGAAGATGACAGGAGTTGGAGTCTTTTTTACTGATATTCGGACAATTCACCTCTGATTGGCTAACAGCAACGAGACTCTACCACCGACTCTGTTTGCTTGGCAATGTTTATGTTTTATCTCAACAAATAACACATACAGTGTAGTGGAGTGGAGTTGCTAATGCTAAAGGTTAGCTTCTACTAGCCAAGACGTGCTCTGCTCTCTCCTGGACGCTAAATCAGCAACAGCCTACCCCGTCGCGAGCCAAGATGGTTGAGTCCATGAATGCTAATTTTACAGTAAGACATAGATCTGACTGACTTTTCTAATCCAAGCATTTCCCAGTCTATTTTCCATTGGTGACTAATGCAGGAAATAGGGGTAGAAGGCAATTTTACATTCAGCCTGCATGTCAAACTCAGAATGACTGACCATATTAAAAAAATATATACATAAAAGTTATTTTTTCGAGTGGACTTGCTCTTTAATATTAAATTCATGAACAAAAATGCATATTATATTGTCTGAGGGGTGACAGTGGGGGCTTGTGATTTATCGGGGTGGGCCATTGCCCCTATTGACTTCCCCTCTGTGGCACCACTGGCCAAAATTGACAACATTCTAGAATATGTGGAAAGAAAAACAAATGTTCTCAAACATTCTACCCGGTAAAATAAAGGTTGAAAAGTAACACAAAACAGGTTACAGATGCATGTAAATGACATTGAACCAGGGGTAGGGATTTTGTTCAGTCCTCAGTAGCAAAATCAGGCGTATTTTGTCCCGCCTACTCTGCTGATTGATGCAAAAGATGATTTTTAAAATATGCATTTATTTTATTTATTTAGCAGAAAAATATATAATTATTTGCAGGCGTTTGACGATTTTGATGCGCGGCAACATTTTGGACACGGCCGTTATTCTCAATTCAATTCAATGTATTTATGAAGCGCTTTCATACAAGTGCAGCTCAGAGCTCTTTACAATATTAAAAACAACTTATAAAGTAGCTCAAATGTTTTTGTGACATTAAAACATTATTATCTCACCTGCTATAGAAAGCTATTTGAACAGCCTCAGTTTGTAGAAACAGAGATTCATTTGACAGACAGCTGATGTCTAATTTCAGTTACACCTATTAGAAAAGGTTTCTGATGCTTTAAAACACTCACACACTTCATAGCAGTTTGTACACATGTTCCTTACAGACATTGACATTTTCATCCATGATGTCATCCTTTACATGCAGCTCAGTGGTTATTTGCAGTATAAACAGTAACTGACTGGAATTTCATAATAAATCTACAGTAAAAACATCAAATGTGAATTTCTGGGCAACAAAGAAAGATTCAAAACTTTATTTTCATAAACTACTTTAACTTTATGGAAACTGTAATTGTTTGAAGCCGAAAGCACAAACATTCTCTGGTGTTTTAGCTGCAGAAAAGAGAAAACTTCAACAAGCCGCGCTAAAAATAAACATCATTCTGTGTGTTCTTCTCCCAGCTCCAGTTCCACCACAGTGTGGAAGCAGTGAGCCGCGTCCCCCACAGCACGCGGTGAGACGGATGTCTACGGGTGAGACAGTATGTTTGTGAAGGCAAGGGTAAGGCAGGGGAGGAGCAGTGTCAGGTCGTCTGTTTGGGCCAGAAAGGGCCTGATTAAAAGCATGTGCTAGCTCCCCCCGATTCCCAAGTTATAACACACACACACACACACACACACACACACACACACACACACACACACACACACACACACACACACACACACACACACACACACACACACACACACACACACACACACACACACTCTGATTTTAAATGTGATTTTATAAGAAGTTTGCGTGGAGGATCCACCCGTTAAAACTGTCGCAGATTAAAACGGGAGGTCAGAAGAGGAGACAAACAGAAGCGGGGGTTAAAAAGGGGTTAAAGTCAAACCCTCCACAAATGAAATCATCATTTCTCCAAAAACACGAGAGCTGGGCGGCAAATTCATCTCCAACTCAGCACGCAAAGACCCTTATTGTTCTGCAAACGCTCAGTGCCAAAGCTTTGAAGCTCTAAACAGTCAAACACACGCAAAAGAAACTACTTGGGACCAAAAAAAACCCCAAACCTACACTGTTATTTAGATATTTTCTGTGAGAATTTCCCCTCGTTTGGGCTTTTCTCTTTTATTGTGATCTTTCTTCACTCCTTTGGTTTGGACTGGCTTTGAAATATTAAATATTTATCCAATCACTGGAATGTCTCCTTCAGGCTTTGGTCACTGGGTTGGGTTTCAAAAAACACTCCTGCTGACTAGTTTACCACTAGCTAAACACTGAAGGGAGGCCGGGGAAGGGCGCCTGAGTGTAAAAATACATCAATCTTTGGATGTCAGAGTTACATTAAAACCAGAGGGAATTTGAATGGCAGCAAAGAAACGGTCGTGTCCAGACCGGAGAAGCTGGCTGCTGCGTTTGTCCGACCCTCCCTCTTCTTTTTTTAATCTGGCTGTTAGAATCTCTGCCAGGAGCCACAGGGACCATTACAGCTCCCTCGCCTCCTCTCAGAGTTGATTAATAGCCTTTACATGTACAATAAGACAGATGCTGAATAGGAGCTTCACTTATTCCCAGTCCTTTTGTGATATTTCAGTCATAAAAGAGCAGGAATGAGAATATTGCTGTGTGCATCTGCAGCTGTGTGGCGCTCACATCCCAAATCCTCACGTCTTTTGTCAGTCCATCAGGAAGTCGAACACGGAAGTGGATTAGACATGCATTTCTGAGAGCAGACTTTGGGTTTGGAGAGACACAACCTTACATTTTCCTTCTCTGAACCTGCATGAATCTCCAGCCGTTTTAGGAAGAACGTAAAAGGGAAAAGCTCACGATAGACTTGAGACTCGAGTCATTTTGAATGAGAAATTAAACAGCAACATGTGCGTACGCATCAAAAGCATGCCTACGGGGTGCTAATTAAAGTAAAAGTTTAATAACTACATTTGGATGCTCATCAAATAAAAATGGAGAGACACATTTTCATGTCACCGTACACTCAACAAATTATTTATATTTTATACATTTAGATTTGATTCTAAATATTCAGGTTTACTTTTATATTTCAATTTATTTCTACAAGTTTAACATTAATATTTCAATTTGTGTCTAAATAACTAGCTTCAACCTCGCAAATCTAGATTTAATAATTAAATTTTTATAGTCCATCCATCCATTTTCTGAACCCGCTTTGTCCACGCAGGGTGGGGTTGGGGGTTGGGGGTGGGGTGGGGGGTGGTGGGGGCTGGTGACTTTCTCCAGCGGTCAATGGGCCATCAGGCGGGGTACACCCTGGACAGACAGCCAGTCCAGAGACACCCAATCATGCACAATCATGCACACACACACACACACACCTAAGGACAATTTAGACAGACCAATCAACCTAACAGTCATGTTTTTGGACGGTGGGAGGAAGCCGGAGTACCCGGAGAGAACCCACGCATGCACAGGGAGAACATGCTAACTCCATGCAGAAAGATCCCAGGCCGGGAAGCGAACCCAGGACCTTCTTGCTACAAGGCAACAGCTCTAACCACTGCGCAGCCATTTTTATAGTCGGTGACAAATATTAATTTTAATAACCAATTATAAATTTGAAAACACGACATTTTCTGAACCCAATACAATAAACGTGTCAAATAGAAAGAAGCCTGTTAAAAAAAAACTTATTGCACAACGGCGGCTCACCTGTCTCGGTACTCGCTACCACATGTTATGTCAGTCTTGGATTTGCTATAAAAATATAACACATAAAACAGTTTTTCATAGCATTGACAAGGACCGCCATCAGGTACAGACGGTGCTGCAGGCCTGGTGCATGCTAGTTTGAAGAGGACAAATCTCCAGGATCATTCTCAGCGACGACGCCTACTGAAGTCTGTTGGTGTGAAGCACAGAGCAGCTGCATCCTCCTGACTTGTTCAGATGACTGATTTCGTCTCTACTGACTGTTAAATGTGTTGCTGAGTGAATGCCTGGATTCTAAAAGCTCAGTGGATTTTGGTCCAATTTTCCCACCCTGACATAAAGATCTCGTTGGAATTCGATTGAAGGAAAAGAGCAAGTTTTAGACTCAATAGCTGACTAAAGAGCAAACCAAACAAAGTGATGCTGTGTATTTTCCCTGGCCATAAGGGGCAGTACATACCTAAATCACTGCAAGCAAGCGGTGCTTTTGTGTTTGAGTAAGATCTTCCCTACGGATGGCCATTAGGGTCAAATATCCTTGGGAATGCAACCTCCAGCAAAATGACAATCACTGGCAACGAGTGAAGAGGTAAATGTGTAAAACGTTTATGAATGGTGAAAGTTTTGTAACCGTTTGTTACAAATCAGTAATTGCATTTGTCCTCACAGGCTCCCGTAGAATGGCGTCGCCCAGAGACTTCGACCCGCTCGCATGTATTTTAGACCCGATTTTTATGGTTGCATTTTACAAAGCCGCCAATATTTTTCTACAATCGACTCGAGCATCATTTAATTCACTTTCAACAACATTTAGAAGAATATTTCCAGAGATTAATGGTAAAAACTACACATGGTCAAATTTCAACTATTCCTACATGCCTTTATTATTGTGATATTGTCATTTTCATTTAAAGTTCTGGGAGTGGACGTCACTTCTCCTGGCAGGCAACAGTTCAAATCGAATGGCGCCATCTTGGCAGGCAGTTGCCCGCAGTTGGGCTATTGTTATTTGCAGAAAACCCAAACTAGAAACGGTAAATATGGGAGGTACCTGTTGTGCCCCAGGATGCCACAGCAGACGCGGACGAGGTAAGGGAAGAGCTGAACTCCCAAAAGATCCGGAACACAGCAAACATTGGATCATTGCAATAAAACGCGCTAGGTACCAGGCTAAAACGAAACTGTGGGATCCCGGGAGCAAAGGTTTTGGCTAACGCAGCGACCATGTCATGCTTTTATTACGATTCTTAGCGGGCTTCCTAAACTTATATTGACATGTCTTATTGCTCATAGCAATAAGTAAAAACCACGTAAAACTTTGCCCGATCATTCGTGGTTTCTGCTGTTTACGTATCCCTCCTGGCTTTTGTATGCTCTTAGCGATGCTCCGGAGTAGGACGAGGGAAACCCAATAAGGACATTTTAAATGTCAGGGTATCTCAAATCCAAACCAAACAATGATAGAAAACAGATGGACTTTTTTTATGTTTGGATTTTTTCATGAAGGCAGTAGAGACACATCACAAAAGGATGCAACATTTGTGTTTTGCATAAACCAGGGTATCTGCAGGTTTAAGGGAGCCAAATTTAAGACTTTTTAAGACCTTTTTTAAGGCCACTTTGACCAAATTTAAGCTATTTTTAAAATTAAATTTAAGCTATAATTTCCAGCTATTGCCTGGAACCGGTGCTAACCACATCGTGAACGTGGGATTAGCCATCCAGTTACCATTCAACTTGCACTTCCCCATGGCGCAAGCTCCCACTAGCTTAACCAGCTAATGTGCTCATCTGAAAAATAGCCCCCTTTCACAACCAACTGAATGTGTACGGTTCCGCTTACGCCAACATCACACACAAAAAATGCTGAACACCAACTAGAAATTCATGAAATTTTTATAGAAATAAAAGAATCTTGTTTATTGGGTCTTTGGTAATTTAAGACCTTTGGAAACTGGATTTAAGGATTATTTGTCATTTTTAAGGATTTTCAAGGCCTTAAATTTGGAAAAGCAAATTTAAGACTTTTTAAGGACCCGCGGATACCCTGATAAACGGTCCCTTTAATCTGTTAGAGAAAAAGGCAGCAGACGTTTTGTGTCGGCAAATCAGAGAGCTTGGACTTTCCTTGCCTGTGGGGTGCAGAAGAAGGGTCTGACCTTCTGCGTCACAGCTGAGTACATCTGGGACAGTTGCTCCTAAAGAGACTATTTTCTGTTTATGGAACAATGATCATTGCTGATGTGTTGGAATTGGGTTAACACACACCTGTATGCTCCAGACCTCTCCAGTTCTGTCCAGTGTTCTGAGTATATCTGCATGGGTGTAATTTTATTTATGCTTGAGTTGCATCTATGCAGGTATTATTAATTGTATTTTGTACATTAGCTCAACAAATATATTTTAGTGACTAATCCCTGGCCTTATCTGTGCAGCCCAGTGGAGTCATGGTGCTGGAATGCAGCATGAAGTAATGCACATTCATGATAACATGTATGTACACAAATCTATGAGGCTCCTGAGTCCTGATAACAGGTTGGCGCCACATTGATATCGTTAGACGGGGTGAATGATTATAAATCTCCACTCTCCATGCTGTGGCTCCCACCTCTGCTCTTCATCTCACTCATCCTCCTCCAAGCTCAGAGTTACCAGACAGATCTCTGCTGCTTTTCTTGTGTCAGAGTGATGGAAAGGGGTTATCAGCCTGTACACCCCCGTCTTCTATTCCTCCTCTAGGGACAAGGCCTAGGAATAAGAGTCTGAATTATTATTGTGCCTTTAGTTGAAGTAGAGCTGTTATTTTGATGAACAACGGGTGTTTTTTATGCATTTGTGACTGTCAAAGTGTTGGACCGAGACAGGGTTGGACACAGCTACAGATGGAGCTGGAAGCTGGAGTGGACTTAACCGTTGCTTTGATGTGATGATGGGACCTGGTTTTAGACTAGACGTGACAAATCTCGTGTTGACAAGAATACATTTTTGAGTTTCCACAGAATAAATCTTCACCAAAATTGTGTAGCAGTGATCAGCAGAATCAGTGCCGCAGAACCCAGACTAAAACTGCCAACATCCTGCTATAGTTTTCGGATATTTTTCCTGCTCCACCACAGCTGAATGGAGTAGATTAATCATCTCCTTACCACATTTAACTCTGCACAAAACTGCTCATTACTCATTTCAATCAGGTGTGTAGGAGCAAACAAATAAATAAAACAGCTAACATGTGCAAGATGGTAGCCCTGGAGGATTGGAGTTGGGGACCCCTGCACCAGCCTGAACATGGGAGATGTTTGAGATAGAAAACCCATCCTGCCCTCTTCAGGATATCCTACAGAGGCAGAGGAGCTCTATTGTCATTTATACGATTCCAAGTAAACATCTGTATCAGTTAACCGTCATCAGCAAAAGCAGAAACTGAGGACTATATATACTGGATGCCTTGATTTCAGAGTACATGTACCGGGTGCAAGTAGTAGAGCAGAATCAAGGGAACAGAGGGAGGAAAAAAGCTAGTCGAAATAGAAACGTAAATAAAAGACAGAAAACAAAAAACTACAAACAAAATTGAAAGTTTTAATTCACTTGATCTTCAATAAATAAGTTGCAGTCTCCAGAATGAATGGATGGAGAAGTGGAAGGCAGAAAATGAGAGGATTATACGTCTTCCTCTTCAAAGGTACCCTAGGATTCAAAACCACTTCACTTGTTTAATGAAGACAGCCTGTGGTATCTGATGCAGTGTACCAAAAGCCTGTGCCGTCTCCGAACTGCTTTCCTGTGTAAATTAAAAACGCGGGAATGGCCACGGAGAAACAGTTCGTTCTGAGAAAAGCTGGTTGAGCTTAGAAGCAACCTCACATTTGCATGTCCCAACTCAGCTCAACATCTGCTACACATAAATGTTTTGTGGTGAGAATGCTAACCACAGAACTATGCTAGCCCAAGCTACCGCTAACACCCTTGTTGGATGAAAACAAAAAAGAATGTTGGAGCTTACATGTAAACGTTCCAGGATGGACTCCAAATTTCTAGACTTTGAATGAATGCCAGATAGATCCATAGCTTGGAGCACGCAGCTAATATTCGTGTCCTGGCCGAGTGGGTGGAGAAAAGCAGTCTTTCCATTTTAGGGCTTAGTCATGAGGTTGGTTTTGCCCATTTATCAGGGCTCCTGGGCTATTGTGAGCCCCATCAAAGTTTCACATGGTATTAAAGGGCAGGGCTTTTCAATTCTGGGCCTTGATTCAGTGGTTGAATCCCCTGTTCAGCAGCTCATCAGGCTCTGCAGAAGCCTGTTAATCACCTGCTGATTGAAATCCGTTGTGTTGAAGTAGGACTGAAACTAAAACATGCTGGATTCCGGCCCTCCAGGCCCGGCGTTGAATAGCCTTGTTAAAGAGGATCCAAACAACACCATTAAAGGGGTGATGTGCAAATGTCTCGCCTCTGACTAATCAATGCCACCGTGACTCTTCCGCTGCCTTCGTTTGCTACTCTCTTGGGCAAAAACTGCAATAGTGTTGGGCAATTTGTAAATTTGTTTTCCCACCGCCAATCTTCAGTCCAAAAAAAAGAAGATGGATGATTTACTCGTACATGTGACGTCATGACGCACGGACTGTGTGCGAACACAGAAGATGCCCAAAACATAGATTTTTTTATACAAGCGCAGCGCATATGTTTGCTGTGTTACGACCCCTGGGTTTTACCATGGTTGGTCGTATTATTATTACTGTTTAGTCATTTTTTTTGCCCCCTGTTTTGGTAGTTATCTTCCCATCGTTTTGTTTTCTTTTGGAGTGACAACACCGGACCCAGATACAAGACGGCTGCCTCCATGCTGTTGTCCAGTAACCATGGAAACCACAATGAGCACCAGCAGCCTCATCACTAGTGGATCTCTCCACGGTTCTTCAGGTGGAAGCAATTGGACTAATCATTTTCTCTGGATCTGGAAATGATAAAAGGCTGGAGGAACTTTCACTCTAGGAGCTACTTGTAACCAAGTAGACTCCCTTTGGGCTAGTTTCATGATTTAGAAGTTTAAACATCTTGAAAGAAAATAATTCCTTAGCTTTTAATAAGTCTCTCATTGGGTTTAGTAATTACTCATAGTAAAAGGACTACAGTGGCCACTGTTTGAGTTTGAGAGTCTTTTGTGGTTAAGTTGCTGAATTATTATGTAGAAGGTGAAAGCTTCTTTAGGTTTTGGAAATAACACCGAGTCTTCTAGTTAATCCATCCCACATCTTTCTTTCTTTTGTACCATCCTGTTGGACAATTAGGTCTGGTAGGTTATTTTTTTGCTGCCAGTTAAAAGATCTGAGCCTTAGCCTCTTGCTTTATTTTGTACTAACATTGGACTCTCTGAGTTTCATGTGCTGTGTTAGTTGTATTGTTGTTAGGATTTCCAGCTCTTGGTTTTTGTGTTATCTTCTAATGTGTAAATACATTTGTTTTTCTTTACACAAGTTCCTTCTCGTCTCCCTGGTTTCCCCTCCCTGAAGAAGGTAAAACGTAACCAGTGGGGGCTCATCCGGGATATTATCCTTTAATGTTCACATCTTATTGCTGGAGCCTTCTTCACCATTTCTTATATTTTCTCCCCTGAAGTGAACTTGTGTGTGTGTAGAATTCTGTAGACTAACGGTATGCAATGTCTGTCTTTGATTTGCAGGCTTTCTCGGATGCACCTTCCCGTAGCCAGATAGAGGGATGTTGCAAACAGGATTTAGTAGAGGTAGCTGTGCATCTTCGCCTCACTGGGGCTCAGCAGATGCGGAAGTTGGAGCTACGAGAACGGATTGTGCTTGAAATGGAACAATTGAAACTGTTCCCCCCTGTGCCGGTTTCTGTTAATCCTCTTCTCCTCCAGCAGGGGGCAAATCATGAGAAGGGCGATGGTGGAACTGTGGCCGGGGACTATGCAGACCGGGAGACAGACATAGAGGAACGGAAGGAGACCCCACCTCCAGGTGAAAGACATTTTGCTCCTTCTGTCTCAATTCCTCGCTATGATCCAATGTCTTCAGACTCCTTTCGAGAATCGCCCGGGTCTGCTAAGCTGCGGGTCAGGTTGGCTCGACTAAAGCACGAGGCTGAAGAAAAAGCTCAGCGAAGGCAAAGGGAGATGGAACTCAGGAAGTTCGAAATCGAGGCTGAAACAAAAGTCCGACTCCGTCACGTGGAGCTGGAACTCCAAACACAGTTGGGAAACCATTCAGCACGAGGAGTGGATGAAAGAAAGGACAGTGGACCAGACCGGCTGGACATCAGCAAGTCTATCACGTTGTTGCCTCCATTCCGTGAGACCGAAGTGGACAGCTACTTCACCGCGTTTGAGCGCCTTGCACATGCACTCTCCTGGCCGTGGGAAGTCTGGCCCCTGCTCTTACAGAGTGGAAAAGCCCAAGAGGCAATCTCATCACTGTCCACTCAAGATGTAACAGATTATGATAAAGTAAAAGAAGCAGTTTTAAAAGCCTATGAATTAGTGACAGAAGCCTATAGACAGAAGTTCAGAACATTAAGGAAACGAAACGAAACCCAAACCTATGTTGAATTTGCCAGAGAAAAGAATGGGTTGTTTGATAAATGGTTGATGGCTGCTAAAGCTTCTTCCTTCTCTGAGTTAAAAGAGTTACTCCTCTTAGAGGAATTCAAAAGATGTCCTCCTGAAAAACTCGTGTTGTATCTGAATGAACAAAAGGTGTCCACATTGTCTGCAGCTGCTTTATCAGCAGATGAGTTTGCATTGACCCACCATTTGAATAATGAAACCAAGTTTAAGCGTCCAACAGATGGTAAACTCAGAGCACAAGAAAAACAAGCAATAAAGAGTTTACTGCGGTGTTTCTATTGTCATCAGCTGGGACATATTGCTAAAGACTGCTTGATCTTAAAGCGCAAAAATGAAAGACGAGAGTCACCTCCCAGGGAGGTAGGGTTTTTATCGAATCCTCATAATCTCCAATCCGAGGGTCAGAAATATGACAAATGCTTCACACCATTTGTATCTGAAGGAACAGCAGCCTTAATTTCTACTTCTGCAGTTCCAGTTAAAATACTACGAGACTCTGGTGCTTCCCACTCATTGGTTTTGAAAAGAGTGCTGCCTTTTGGCAAAAACAGTTACTCGGGTGTTTCAGTCCTGTTAAAAGGTTTAAACTCTGAGAACGCATAGTTTCTACTACATGAGGTCATGTTGGATTGTGATCCAGCTAAGGGTAGATTTAGTAATGCCGTGAGCGACACTTTACCTATTTCCGGGATAGATTTACTACTTGGAAACGACATCGCTAGAGGACTGGTTACTCCTGCTCCAGAAGTCGTAGCACAACCAATCCCGGACCCAGACTATGTTCGGTTCTTCCGTGACATATTTCCCTCATGTGTTGTGATGCGCTCTCAATCAAAACTAAATGACGGGTTACTTGACATTTCACCCCTGCTTGAAGAAAATCTTGGGCAGGTCTCAGAACCAGAATGTCACCCAGAACAAATCTCCTCTGAAAAACCGGAGCATTTAAAGCTTGATGACAACCGTGTGTCTAGAACCACTTTAGTGCAAGAGCAAAAGGCCGATAAATCTCTAGAAAAATGTTTTGTGGCAGTCAGAGGTACAGAGCAAAGTAACATTAAGTACTTCTTTGAAAACGAGGTTTTGATGAGATCTTGGACTGATCCTAAAGATGCAGGAGCTACCTGGAAAACTGTAACACAGATTGTTATCCCTCAAAAATTCAAACATAAAATACTGACAATCGCCCATGAGAGCGATTGGTCAGGACATTTTGGCATTAAGAGAACTTACCAAACTGTTATGGAACACTTCTTCTGGCCAGGCTTAAGAAAGGATGTGAGTCAGTTTTGTAAGCGTTGCCATATTTGCCAAGTCGTTGGTAAAGCAAACCAAAACTTACCACCCGCTCCCATCCAGCCCATACCGATTGTTGGGGATGCCTTTGATCACATAGTGATGGATTGTGTGGGTCCTTTACCCCGCACCAAATCAGGAAAAGGGTTTCTACTCACCCTTATGTGTAAAAACACCCGATTCCCCAAAGCCATTCCCCTGTCTTCGATAACTTCAAAGTTCGTTGTAAACGCATTGGTGGGCTTCTTTTCCACATGTGGATTACCCCACACGATTCAAACAGATCAGGGCTCGAACTTTAAGTCTGAGCTGTTTAAAACGGTTACTGAGACCCTGGGAATAAAACATATAATGTCGTCATGCTATCACCCCGAATCTCAGGGTGTGTTGGAATGATGACATCAGACATTTAAGAATATGTTGTGTAAATATTGCCTTACGACAGGATGCCAGTGGGATGAAGGGGTCCCCTTTTTGTTGTCTGCAGCGTGGGAGGCTAAATAAGAATCATTAGGATTCAGTCCTGCTCAGTTGGTCTTTGGCCATGTTCCCCGTGGGCCATTAAAGGCCTTGAAAGAACGATTCTTGCAGGCACCTGAAATAAAGCGTATTGCTGTGGACAGGTACATTAAGGGGTGCCAATATCGGTTACGGGAATCGAACAAGGTGGCTAAAGAACACCTTCAAAGTGCCCAAAGGGTAATGAAAAGCAACTTTGACGAAAAGGCTGTTAAACGGACTTTTCTCCCTGGTGACCAAGTGTTAATGTTAACCCCCATTACAGGTGGAACCATTCACAGTCAGTCACAAACTTGGTGAAGCAACATACATTTTCAAAACTCCTAAAGGAAGAAAGAAGCTCAGACAGTGCCACAGTTATATGTTAAAACCATATTTCTCCCCTCAGATGCCACCGTCCAACATAACTTGTGAAAAGCTGGTGTGCGCAGCCAGTGGAATCACAGAGTCTGGTGATGAAAAATAGGAGCTCGGTTATAAACATGTTGATGCTATTAGCCCCCGACTGGCTAACTCTGAGGCTCTTCTACAGTTAGATGAGAAGCTTTCACATTTAACAGAACCACAACAAATGGATCTAAGTGCATTGATGAATGGGCACCTTTGTTTGTTTTCAGATACCCCGACCAGGACTCACCTCGATCAACATGATGTAATCCTCAGTGGAAACAAGCCGATCAAACAACACCCGTATAGGGTCAGTCCGGAAAAATGAAAGCTTATGAAGCGAGACAGATCACCTTTTAGCAAATGGGCTAGCGGTATTAAGCCACAGTCCCGGGAGCTCGCCCTGTTTGCTTGACATGAAGCCAGATGGAACATCTCGGTTATAATAAAATAAATAAAAAAATAAAACATGGAAGGATAAACAGATAAGATAAAGTAGATTAAAGACATAAAAAGATAAAAACCTTACAAGATTAAAGGAAGGATGGACGGACGGACGGACAGAAAAAGATTAATGCAGCCCCAACAGGCAACAAGTCAGCGTCCCATTTGTGCCGGGTCCAAGCCCGGGTAAATGCAGAGGGTAGTGTAAGGAATGGATCAAAGCAAAAGATAGATATATGGATAGAAGAACTGTAGTGATGATAGCATAGTTTTCTATGTATTTTAGGGATTTGGAGGTATGTGACACCCGAAAAATTATTTCCCAGACCTGCACCCCTTTGTAGGGCTGGCGAAATCCGGCCCCTGACACACACACGCACGCACGCACACACACACACACACACACACACACACTTATGAAAGGTCGGCGAGCTCTGCAAAGAAGCCAAAATATACTTAACTAATCTGCTTGATCTGGCAATTTATTGCCAATGAAAAGTTCAAACGGGTTGAAACTTGAGCTGCTTGCGTCTGCTAAAAAGTAGACTATGCAATTTCCACTGTGTGTGTGTGTGTGTGTGTGCGTGCGTGCGTGCGTGCGTGCGTGCGTGCGTGCGTGTGTGTGTGTGTGTGTGTGTGTGTGTGTGTGTGTTGGGGGTGGGTGCTGACCACCGGACAGACATTTACTGGTTGCGTTCTGCTCGGCTTAAAACTAATTCACTCTCGATGACAACCCACCGTGAAAGACGAGACGAATTATTTTCACTCCCCCTCCCCTCCACCTTTATTACCTGCCCTCACTGTGGCAGGTCACTCTCTCTATATATCTATATATCTATATCTATGTATAAATAATCTTCACTGTGCATCTCATTTTCTACACATGATCCTTCCCAAATATGTCTCAATACCAGCTGTGTGTCTGGTCCCATCATAGAACCTATGTGCTCTAAATGCCCCCAAAGCGGCACAGGAAGTTAAAGCAAGAAAGATTTGCTTTAGAAAAAGCATCCAGACATTAATGCCCAATCAAGGGCAATGAGTATGAGGAGTGCCAGACTGTAGAACTGGTGAAGTTATTAACTTCCCTTGTGTGGAGCAATAAAAACCCCAAAGCTACATTTTTTTCGTTTATTTGTTCGTCGTACATCTACCTGCCACCATTCACACACATAATAAGTCTTCAGAAAAGGTAAAGGGGCAGAGATAGAGGTGTGGCGAGGTGAACAGGAACTGTAATGAGTTTTCTGCTCTGAGCTTCAGGAAAACGCCGAACACTGATGAGCTCCACATTATGTTGAGGCCAGAATCTGGGCTTTAATGGTAAACCAGGCCTCCAGCAGCTCTGCAGGCCTATTGAGTTTCCCTGATTGTTGGTTAGCAGAAACCTCCTGGTTCCACTTAGGGCCCTGTTTCATTATTTCAGATTTATCACTGTTGCGTTCACCAGTTGCCATGTTGTTTCCCTACCATATGCTCCTAAGTGTAATTCATAGCATCTAATAATGCACAAACCAAGACATTTTAAGGAACTGCAAGTTGGAGTTGTTCCCAGGCTGCAGGGATTAGGGCCCCTCAAAGGGTAGAGCAGTGAAGTTGTGCCCAAAGGGGAGGAAGGCCGAACCCAGCGGAGGGAACATTATTGGATATGTACCAAGTCATTGCCTTTAGCCTAAGGATTTGGTCCGACAGCCACCCACACCGTGTTTACGGAGTAAACTGCACAGCACATCGTACTAGATGGAACAATCACCAAACCGTCCGTGCTATTTTATCCTCCTATAATTTTAAATATATCAATCTGTCATAATCTGAAATTCTCGAACATTTGATAAAGACAGAAAAGAAAGAAAGAAAACTATCTTTTATATAGTGCATCTCAAGAAAAAAATCACGAGGCGCTTCACATAAACAAAAAACAAACAAACAAAGTTTAAAAAATATTTCAAAAAAAGGTTAAATAATATGTTTTAAATGAGAAAAAATTAAAAGATAAAACTAGTGATACAAAATATTGTAGGGAAAGGGAGAGAGAAAATTAATAGGAAAGAGGGAAATCAGTGGATTGTGAAAAAGGCAGAATGAGTAGAAAGAGCAGAATAAGGAGAGGGTGGTGATGAAGGTCGCACCAAAACCAGCCTGAACAGGTGAGTGTTCAGCTGCTTTTTAAAGAAGACCACTGAGACCCACATATTTCTCTCCTCCTGCTCCCTCACATCATCACACAAACATGCACATAGGACCTTGGGGGGTGGACAAGTCAGGGGGTGCGGGTATGGACCCCATTTCCGCATTCCTGTAGCAACCTGCCCCCCAATTTTATTTGCACCTTACACACTTCCACCGACGACATTCCACGCAAACACACACTTAGGCCCTTGGGAGTGAGCACATTCAACGGCATTTGGCAGGGGGATTTCTCAGCCTCCTCCCGAGTGCCGTAGTCCACTTCCAATTTTAAACCGCACTTAGACACCGAGGGCTGTGGGTGCAAGTGGAGTGGTGCGGTGGCATCCGCTGGCATAGGCCAGACAATGCCTGCACTGCCCGCTCACCACAGCCATGGAATACACCTCATCAACACACAACACTTAATGGAGCAGGCGGAGGGAGACTAGGGGTCTTAGAACACCTCTGTTGTTGCTTGGCTTCCTGGGGCTGGAGACTAGGAGGGAGATCTGGCCGTCTGGTTGGGGTCTGAGGTGGCGGGTTGCTGTGCTCGGTGTTGGGCGGGGGAGCCTGCTCATCAGCACCCCAGCAGAAAGGGGTGCTGATGAGCACTCTGGTCCCGGTACTGCTGCACATTGGGTACAACCATCACCGGTAACCAGAGTTTGACCCTTTCTGCTGGGGTGCTGATGAGCAGGCTCCCCCGCCCAACGCTGAGCACAGCAACCCACCACCCCAGACCCCAACCAGACGGCCAGATCTCCCTCCTAGCCTCCAGCCCCAGGAAGCCTAGCAACAACAGAGATGGCTAAGACCCCTAGTCTCCCTCCGCCTGCTCCAATATAGTGTTGTATGATCATGAGGTGTATTCCATGGCTGTGGTGAGTGGGCAGTGTGGGCATCATCCGGCCTATGCCAGCTGATGCCACCGCACCACCCCACTCACACCTTCAGCCATCAGTGCGGTTTAAAATTGGAAGTGGGCACCGGCACCCGGGAGGAGGCTGAAATATCCCCCTGCCAAATGCCGTTGAATGTGCTCACTCCCAAGGCCCTAAGTGTGTGTTTGTGTGGAATGTCGTCAGTGGAAGCGTATAAGGTGCAAATAAAATTGGGGGGCAGGTTGCCACAGGAATGCGGAAATGGGGTCCATACCCACACTCCATGACTTGCCCACCCCCCAAGGTCCTATGTGTATGTTTGTGTGATGATGTGAGGGAGCAGGAGGAGAGAAATATGCGGGATGGAGAGGAATGGCTGGTTGGGCTTAGCCCTCCAGGGAGCCAGCTCCCCTACTGGCCCCAATAGGCACCTCTGTTGTCAAACTGCCACCCAGGGCATGGAGACCCCAGCCCATCCTGCCAGGGCCCAAAGCAGCAGCATTACAGAGCCTCACTGAGTCCGAGGGCACCAACCCATCCCCACCCCAGCAGAATATCTATGCCCATCCCTGCATTTGCACAACTTCCAGAATATATAAGACATGGGACATCCAGGTAAGGTTGGGTCCTCCCCCTCCTGGACCTCCCCCTCCCCTGTGATGGAACGGCAGAGGAGCCAAGGTCTACCTGAGGCCCCCGAACCCGGGCCAGGCGCTGCTGCGTGTTCCTGCCTTCTTCCCGGCAGCAAACATGTCAGGACCCGACCCCCAAGGCCCCGCCCAGATCCCCACATGGGGCCGGCCACCCCAAACCCTGAGCCCCCAGGCCCCCACCCAGACCCGCCCAGGGGCATTGCAGCCGCCAGGCAGTGACCCATGGCCGCCGCCAAGATCCCCAAGGGGCCCCACTCACAACCGCCAGCAGTCCACCCCCCGAGGCAACCCAAGCACCTCCAGAGGGGGGCAACGGCCCCCCAGTCCCAGACACCCACCCCCAGGGAACATCCGGATACTCCAAACACAGACCCCACACCCCCCACCCACACCATCCCGCAGGACAACATCAATGGCCCCCCACCCTCGCTATGTAATGGAACCGATCAAAGGAGCCCAGAGAGATTCATCTGAAGTGGAAGCAGAGGCTATATCAAGTGCAATATGATCTAACAAAAGATTTCTATACTGGTTAATGCAGAGACTTTCTCTATTTTTCCAATTCAAGAGGATAGTTTTCTTAGCGATGCATATGGCAGTCAGAACCACGTGAACCAAAGATGTTTCAATCGGGACATCGTCCAGGTTTCCCAGTAAACAAAGAGAGGGGGAAGTTGGGATATGACATTTCAGACATTTTGACAGATCCTCACATACTCTAACCCAAAATTCCTGGACAGGTGGGCAGGAAGATCATTCTAAAGTCGGGATGCAACATTCTGGAAGAAACGATCACCTAAACTTTTATATCTAGTTTTTGGAGCTTCTCGAAGGTTCTGTTGGGTGGACCTGAGGGCTCGGGTTGGAGCAAAAGTCTTTAACAGTTCAGTAATATAGGGAGGAGCTTGACCATGTAGAGCACTGAAAGTTATAAGATTCTAAAATGGACTCTAAAGTTAACGAGTAACCAGTGGAGAGACATTAGAATAGGAGTGATGGGTGCTCTTCTGTTTGCTCCAGTTAGGAGCCTCACTGCGGAGTTCTGGACCAACTGACGACGGTCAAAGGCTTTTTTGTTAAAACAAGTGAAAAAAGTGTTACAGTAATCTAGACGGGAGGAGATAAAGGCATAGATGACCATTTAAAGTTCATGGTTTGACACCAACCTTCGCAGTTCGGAGATATTTCTTAAATGATAAAAACAGTTTCGGACCAACGTTTTTGAGTGACCTTCAAGAGACACTGATTGGTCAAAAATAACACCAAAATTTCTTAACTTTGTCTTGATGGCAGATGATGACCAAGTTTTAGACTAATCAGGGGAACCATGCTCTCAGGGGCAATGATCAGACATTCGGTCTTTTCAGAGTTTAACTGGAGGAAGTTATCTTCTAGCCAGCGGGTGATAGCTGATAGACACTCTAGTAATTCAGACAGTTTATAGAACTCAGAATCCTTAAAAGAACAGTACAGCTGAATGTCATCTGCATATAGATGATAAGAGACATTATGAAAAGAATCAAGTATCTGTCCAAGAGGGTGTATGTACAGTAGAAACAACAGTGGACCAAAAACAGAGCCTTGGGGTATCCCACAGAACAGATCAGTAGAATCTGACTTGATTTGGTTTCTACAGACACTGCAACTTCTGTTAGAAAGGTACGATCTAAACCAGTCTAGAACAGTTCCAGAGATCCCCACCGAGTCACCAAGTCTGCAAGGTGTTGTGATCAACAGTGTCAAAAGCTGCAGAAAGATCTAACAATACTAACACTGTGAATTCCCCGTTGTCTGCAGCCATCGTGATGCCACTGGAAACTTTAGGCAAAGACGTTTCAGTTGAATTCTTTTTATGAAAACCAGACTGGAATTTGTCAAAACTGTTGTGTACTTCCTAATCACTTGATCTGCCACAACATTTTATAATATTTTAGAGATAACGGGTAGAAATGGGTCTGTAATTTTTAGGCAGAGTCCAAACTTGATTTTTAAGGATGGGTTCAACAGCCTCATGCTTTAAAACAGATGGCACAGAGCCAGATTTTAGAGAAATTAATAAAATCTACAATGCATGGGCCAATTTGGTCAAACATCCTGATGACAAAGGATGTAGGGATAAAATCAGCACGGCATGAAGTTGGTTTAATCCGTTTCTGAATGAGGCCAATGTCCTGGAAATCTACAGGTGTAGAGGCGGACCATGACTGGGAGGAAGGTGGTTGGATTGGGGGGGATGGGTAGGAAGTAGATGGGGGTGAAAAACTTGCCCTGATATTTCTAATTTTATTCTCAAAGAATGCTAGAAAGTTGTTACGGTCAGACCTCGAGTAAACTGGCATAAGAGGGGGGCGAGGTGAAGCAACATGGACAGGACTTTAGAGTTATTTTTGTTTACAGCAATCAGCTGAGCTGAGCA